TGTTCTGCGTATTGAAACTTTAGACTATTAAACTCTTATAGGTATATTCTGTGTGTGCTGAATTTTGTGTTGTTGGTATGTATATTTTATTATAATGTATCTACTCTCTGTTCAAGCAAGTCAAACTTGCATTTTTGTGCATAACATACATACGGTACATAAGAGTAAGAATTTATTATACCTTGAACATTAATAGACATTTTAAAAATATTAATAAAAACAAACTTATAATATGGCGAAATCTGTAAAAGTAATGTTTTATCTTTGCATTGTTATTTAAAGTATGCTAAATATTTTTTATGCTGGTTTTTTATTTTATGTATTTATTTTTTTTATTCTTTGTTATTATTACTATGCCCTGGCTAAATTATATTTTGTGGGCATTTGTGTGTATTTATTGCTATCTTTTATCTACGTACATACCAATTATGTATATGCTGTGACAATGCTGAGTTGTATATTTGGATTTGGATAAATAAATAACAAATGTTATTATGTACGTTATTTAACTCCTTTTTTCCCGACAAGTTTCATTCCGATTAACAAACTTAAAATAACCAAAATTCTCTAATAATGTGGCATGTGTTCTGCGATACTTATTTCAACATGAAAGTATTTGATATTTATGTATAAAACTTGTCCTATTCGTATGGGCAGCCCTAGTAAATAACGGCATCTTTAAATTCCAGAACCGTTATTAACACTAACAACCATTAAAAGAACCATAAAATATGAATCATATTAGGGATCCGCATAAATTGTTCTAAATGACTGTTGTAGGAAGCAGCATTTAGTTTTTACTTTTAGTCCAGTAGAAATATGAATGTGACCATCAGTAGGTTGGTAGATATATTAGAAACTATAAAATTTAAATGGAAATATTATTTTTCTATATTTTATAATATGTACCTATACCTATCTACCTACCTACAATGTAATATGCTTTTTTAAATTATTTATCTTCTCTGTCGCAACAAAAGTAAATGAAATAACTATTAGTGGGTATACCTATCTAGGTAGGTACATTAAAAATGATAATGTTAAAAAGGTAGGTAGTTAGTTAGTTAAAAAAGAAAACCGTATCAAATTATTTCAAAAATTTAAACGGTCGTATGTAATTACTTTTCCTTAATTGTGTGTTTGTTAAGCGGCTTATACATTTTTAGAAAATATGTTTATATAAATATCGATAATAACAGTCCTGAACGAGGAGAGTAAAAATTGCAAATATCCCTAATCAGGCCCTGTTCTGTAGCCTCAAATGGCTGTTGGTGACGTCACACACTAAATTTCAATAGATCAAAGATGCCGCCCGAAACCTAGACTGCTGATTGTTTTATATGCTGTGCCTGAAGTTCGTCAGTTTTTAGACGAAACTTTTCCCAAAAGTGGATTGGGCGCTGTGGACCAGTGAGTTGGCCTTCAAGGTGTCCAGATATGACAAGTTGCGACTTCTTTTTATGGGGATTTATAAAAAGCAAAGTTTACGTTACAGCACCAACTACCTCGGAAGATATGTGGCAGCGCATTACAGTAGCATTTCAATAAATTACGCCAGACATGCTGACCAATGTTGAACAGTCTTTTAAAAACCAAATTCGTTTGTGTATTAATCAAAATGGAGGAGCAATTGATGTAAATCAACATAAGTATTCTTCTCCTTGTTGTGTTCCGAGTTTCAGTTTGTTTCGTTTTGCGTTTTGCTTTAATTGTTGTTAGTGGTTTACTTTTGTTTGTCAAACCACTTTTTAAACATGTCAGTAAATATTGGCACTGTCAGTCTCAGGTCTGATAAAATGTGAGAGAAAAATGGTTTTGCAAGGCCTTCTTGACGCAGTTACATAACTACTTTTTCGGACTTTAGAAAATAACCTGATTTTTCTGGAAAACTGTATGGACAACCTTATACTAGTCAACAGGACATTCAATTTTGCATTTACCTATGACAATTAATTTGAGTCATTCCATTTGAAAAATAAAGTTTTTGAATTCGTAAGATTATTAAATGTAAATTTCAGTATTTCCGAGTCTGAATAAGGCACACGTTTTGATCACAGATAACAAGACAGAGTAATTTATGTCAAAACGAACTGTAAAAGCTGCAGGTTTCTAACTCTTACGGTTTAGATGCTATCTAGCCTCATTTAGAGAACTGAAATTGTGATTTTTTTCAAAAACAACTGAATATCTCGAAAACGGTAAGTTTTAAACACTAGGAACATTGAATAAACTCTACCTAATATTAACCAAGGAATTAAAATTTGCAATAATATACAGGGCGTTCCATTTAAAATAACAAATTTATGTAGCGCCCACGCGAAATGGAACACCCTGTAAAGCTAAACATATTTTCTTTACATGGCCAACATGATTCCAGGCAACTTTTATTAAAACTATTTTATTATAAATTTTACAGTTAGAGAGTTACAGAACTATCCCTCTTAGGTGGAACACCCTGTATATGGAAAGAAGATATGTTGAAAGTATGCAGAACGCAGTACAGCCCGCAGGTTATTGTGGATTATCTCGCGTGTCGGTCGTAATGGCAAGTTTTGCTAATTTTGAATATGTAGAAATGGTGGTTTTATATGTAGCAGAATATCGAAGGGGTTTCCCTCATAGACAATATTTTCCGAATCCGAGAACTTTCGTGCGAGTTTTTCAACATCTTCGTGATACCGAGTCTTTGATACCGCAACATAGTTTTTTCAATTTGTTTTCGCAAATTGTGAAATCGGTCTCCTTCTGCAAAAGTTCTCTATGTCCTATGTCTGGTTATTGAGATATGTCAGACCTGAAATCTCACCAGCCGTCACTGCTTGGAAAATGAATATTAGCATGTTAAAAAAACTGTTTTTTGCCAAGATATGCTCATATCTCCTTGGTGAGCAATTTAATATGTTAGTTGTATAGGTACTAAAAAATAATTACTTGTATCATTCATTACATATTTTATCAAGAGTAAAATCACAAGAGTCTTTATTTTTATCGGATAAATTTCTCTTTATAACGAAATATCGTGAGATCGAAGGTCGAGCGAATTTGTCGAATTTTATTTACGAGCAAAATAACTGATTGGCTAAATTTTGAGTTAAAAAGAAAATCTATGAAATGAAAAGCTCGCTTTTTTGGCAAGATAAAATAACGGTCAAATATGTGAATGAACAACAAAAATAAATATCTTATTTATTTTATGTGAACGAATAACTATCATTACAGTTATTCCATACTCAGTTATTATAAATTTTTTGGTTTGTTGTACCGATTTCAATATTTTCTCGACTTGTTTCCATACATGTTGAATATTCCTTTTGACTTATTCTATCCGAGGTTCGTAAGTTACTAATAAGTGTTTCGTGACGTTCAGCGTCAATTTGAAGGTAGGGTTTAATGGATGATGACAATGAATGTCCAGTTATCTTCACCAGCTGTTGGTTACTTATCCCTGCTTTGGTTAAGTGAGAAACTGTACTGGCACGGTTTGAATGGTTGGTAATTTTATCATTTGTGATGTCCAGTCCAATTTTAGCTGCAGACTCTTTTGTCCATGTAGATAGTATTAATTCCTAGTGGAACATTTTTATACCAATCCTTAGAATGTGTGTTTGTCCAAAAGGGATTTGGAGTTAAAAAAAATCGATCGGATGTTATGTTTTCGTTTCTCTTTTCTAAGAGTAATTTTAATACTGTAACGGGACAAAACTTTTATCGTTCTTATCTTTTGTCATCTATTTGCTGTTTGTCAATTTTTTCGATCCGCCTTGTGCTGTCTTTGAAAATATTGAATTGTATTCGATTCTTCCTATTCGGGTTCCATCTTGATTTTTTTCACTTTTAAAATGGTAAATTTTACAGTTTGTAGCCTCTCTTCCCCTCCAAGCCAATTCATAAGAATTTATATGAAATAATCTTTTCCCTCTGGTTCATTTATATTCAATAATTTTGCCACTCTTAGTATATTTTCCTTATGAATTTACCTTTCATTTCTCTGGAATAGTTTGTGATTCCTTTCTCTTACTGTTTCTTGCATCACGAACTTCTTTAAAAGTTATGTCGGTAAAAGGATCAAAAATGTTATATTTAATGAAATATTTTTCTTGAATCATCTTTGCAGTTGAATTCCAGATTGTTTTAACTCCATATTCTTTGTAAACTTCAACAGTTTTCTTTTTTATATTATATGTCCAAATCTTTAATATATTTTCTAATGGAGTTATTTCGAACTCCATATTTCCATAAATGGTCTCCATATCGTCGGTTTAGTGTTTTTTGTGCATTATGGAATTGATTTTTCTGTTTTTTCTAATTTGTTCAGTTGAAATTTTTCCAAAACGATTCATGTATATTTTATACTCACACTTTCAACAATACTTGTAGTATATTGTAGTGACAAGAAACATTTGGGACTACCATACGCCTACTAAGTATAGTTTAGTTTAGAGGAACAGAAATTTTTATGGATGATAAAAAGCTATACACCTCTTTTTATTGCTGTTAAAGTGACAAAAACGTCACAATTGTATACGCATTTTTATATGGGAGTTAATTTATCATTTTAAGTTTATTATTGGCTGAAGTGAACAAGAAAAAGCAAGAGCTTTTAAAATAGGCAATACAACCGTTTACTTATGTCTAATACTAGGAAAACGTTTAAATTTGGCAGCGTCGCTTCAGGTCGACATTGAGTTGACTTGGATTCGAAAAAATTTTTTTCGGCGTAAATGTGCATTTTAATTTTTTTAACTGCGTATACATATTCAACTCATTTTTCTCTATCTTCCCTTATAATTAATGACTGAACCACCCTGTATATTTTGAAAACAGCTAAAATTGATGTTCATCTATTAAGTTACCTGCGTCGAAGGAAGGGGCACTATAACTTCGAGTCTCAGAACCATCCTCGATTTTAGCTTAAACTTCCTCCAACAAGAAAGCAAACGAGCCTCAAACAATGTTCCAGAAAAGTGAAAATAAGGTCTGAAAGCTTATTTCGGTTCCAGGGGTCCTCCGGTTTTGCAAGTCATGTCGATGCCCTAATGGACCTGGCGGAATATTTCGAAGAGCAAGTAAATAAACGGAACGAATTCATGTTGGTCTCCAAAAGGCAGTATATAAATGTTTGCTTCTGGTATTTGCCGAGGTATCTCCGGGGGAAAGCGAATGTTCTGGAGCACAGTGTCGAGCTAAACAAGGTAGGCCGCAGTGCAATATGTAGTAAATCTAACTGCAAACATTATCTTACCAGTATTCCTTACTCTGCTTACCCGCCCCTTCATTTTGTGTACCCAGATCGTTAAAAATGTAGAGTAATACATCAACTGGCAACTCTGACAATTGGCATTCTCATATAATTGTTTCAGAAAAAATGAATTACCAGCTCCTATTTGATGAACGTATTAAAAATATTAAGCATATATTTTGGTTAAACTTTCTGAATATCGCCAACTACAAAGAAAAAATGTAGGTATCAGTAATATTCAGTTTAGTTAATTTTATTCTTTGCCTTTTGTCAAGTGTTGTGCATAAGTGCATTATACTTTATCTAGAGATACACTCATATTACGAATATAAGATAAGATAAGATTTATTATTCACATATGTGACTATACTGATAGTGAAACTAAATTAATCGAACAAAGTTTTATATTTATGATGTCTATTAATGCATAAGTAATGTAAGCATTATTTACTATGTCAATTCATTATTGAAATACTTTGAACAGCAGAACACGCTGTACGTTTAGCAATCATCCAGTGCCAGTAAATCAATACTCCAGTCGCTTTCGACACCTTTCAGGGCTGCTGAAAAACAGACACTCTTCCTTCAGTTCATTGTATAGTGCTCTCTGCTGCTTCCATAAGCTAACGTAACTCGTATTTCTTTTTTACAGGTGGCGCCAAAGATCAGAGCCTTCATGGTCGAGAACGGTTCTCTAATGTTGGGTTACCAACCCCTGAAGCAACTCCCTAACTTTTTCAGGTTTGTCGCGCAGAATTCTTCTTTGACTAGGAAGGACGTTGACTTCGTTTTGGACCACATAGCTGAGACAGGCGATGCACTTTTCAAGTAGAATAGTTGCAGTTTTATACCTGATAATTTAGTTGAAGATTCATAGATGGGTGTGGCAATAATGTTTAGGTTATAAATTTCGGATTTTACAGTATTCGGTAAGACTTGTTTTAATTATAAAACCTAATGAATTTACAGTTCCAAACAGAAGTTACCGTTATATTTCATGCAAGGGAGACATTTTGAATTGTATAATTTAAAATTAGTAGAATGTGTCAATTACTATAGAAAAATCTGTATTTTGAATTTGAATGATATAAAATAATATAGTACTTACCTACAGCATTTTTCTTGTTAGCAAATATTATATTAACCTTATGCCAATTATTAGATTCTTACTGAGCGTAGCGTAAGAATTCTATTGTATTGAAAACACTGCGATTTTCTATTAGTCTTTATTTCAAAATAGGCCTTGCCTAATATGACAGAATAAATAGCTACGCTACAGAAGGTTCTTGGGAATGTATTTAGCGAATAGGTCCTAAGGTGGCTGATAGATGGCGCGACGATGCATACTTGTTAAAATTTCTAAACTTAGGAATATCCGCGATAATTTTTAAGATGCAAGCGCACCAAGCGGCGAAAGTAGTAAGCTCCGAGACAAGGTAATTTTGACATTGCCGTTCGCGTTTACACATTCATTTGAACAACATTTGTCTTATTTGCCATTATTATTAGTAATTTTGTTATCAAACTGCGGTTATTTNTCTTAATGCTAGTACTATAAAAATTATAATTTTTCGTACAGAAAAATCAGTACCTTGTTTAAGTTCGGTAGAGGTGTGGGGTAAAACTTCAAGGACTTGTTCTGCTGTAACAAGAGATACAATTAGTCGTATCATGCAAAAATCCAATCAAGATGCAACTAGCAATATTACAAATGCTGAATGTATTGACTTCAAAATTCCAGAAGACTTTAAAGATGATTTGACATATGAAATAATGTCAATTCCAATGACACTACCTAGCGGTAAAACTATAGATCAAACTACCCTAGAAAAGCATATAAACAGTGAAATTTCATTCGGTAGGAAACCTTGTGACCCATTTACAGGTGTAAAATTTTCAAATACCCTCAAACCTGTGTTAAATGTTGCTCTTAAGAGTCGAATCGACATGTTTCTTCTACAAAACTCCCACAGAGAAGAATTGGCTAATGTAAAACGTACTTTAGGTGGAAGTGGACAGATTATGAATTCTTTAAATGGCTGCAATAAAAGGAAAAGGGAGACTGTTGACGTTGACGAATTAGATGAACTAATTTCAAAAACAAAACAAAGCCCCAGTTTTCTTAATTTTTCAAGTGAAAATAGTGACAAAAATTTGTGTTCAAGGTGTAAAGTGGAAACTGAAACAATGTATGAAATTCCATGCAAACATTTTTATTGTCGAACTTGTGTCCTAATAATTTATAAAGACTTAAAATGTTTAATTTGTGGTAAGTCTTTTAAGAAAAACGATGTCAGAAAATGTCATTTGTAACGCTGTAAAGGCATTTATTGTAATTGATTTTCTATTTTTCTCTTGTTTGAAAATGACAAATACAAAAGTTCTAAAAAAGTACAAATTGTTTATTTTTATTAGTGAGAGGGTCTTTCGATTTGGCAAGAATAGTAGCTATCAGCAGCTAATAGCACAGAATTATAACACCAGAAGCGACAGTTCCGCTTCCTGCCAATTTTTTTTTCGAGTGCGCATGTGCGAAAATCGCCATTATTTTGTAGGTATTTCCTTCAACCTCAAAATATTTTATGTTTGATGCGTGTGTCAACAGTTATTGTATTTCTTGTATTCGTGCATAAATACTTTTTTATTTCTGTATAATATCATGAGTAGAAAAGGTGGAACAGTTTGTGTTGTTCGTGGGTGTTTCAGTAAAACAACAACAAAAGACATTATTTTATTTAGGTTTCCTAAAAGTGTTGAAAGGTATGTAACTAGTATACTGGTAGATGTTATTACAAAGTTGTAGTTATATTAAAACAACATTTAATCCAATGATCGTATTTTACACTATATTTAAATAAATAAATAAGTTAAATTGAAACAATGACTAAAATATTTACGATATTTTTTAGAGCAAAGTACTGGTTAAGAGCTTGCAATCGTGAAGATTTGGAGGATAAGACTCCAATACAACTTTATAATAATTATAAGATATGTGCACAACATTTTGAAGATAGAATGTTTACAAACCACCTAAAGAATAGATTGCTACCATCTGCAAATCCTACTATTTTTCGTACCTTAGAAGGTTCTAGTACGAAACGAAATATACAGTTTGCAACAGAAGATGAGCCTCCTACAAAAATAGTTGTATTATCAGGTAAAAGAATCGACCATTTTGCTGATTTTTGTCTCCTATTAAATCTTATAATTCATATTTGACAATTAAACGCCTTGTAGTGCATTATACATATTTTTAGTTTAAAAACTTAAGTAGCGTTTACTACTTTTGCATAAAAACAAAGTTAATCTTACAACAATATTAGATCAATTTAATTTCTAATAAATTTTTTTTCCATTTATAAAATTGATCCTATAATTTATATATGATTTCAGATATAACTATCCACCCAAAAATTATTGGAGATAATAAGAATGCAGATTCAGATATGGCTGTGGATGAACTACTTACTGAGGCTTCTAAAACATCTGAATTATCACTGGGTAATAATTTTTTCTATGACTATTTCCTCATTATCAAGTTAAATATATATTTTTTGATTAATTTTACATCACTCATGATGTCATTATTATGTTAACAAAACTCAAGTTTACTGAAATTTTGTCAGTAGTAGATATGGTTTAATCTGATTAAAAGAAACACATTGTTACGTAACTGAATTTTTAAATATTAAACTTAATATGCCAGTCTATGAAATATTCTTGCAGTTATAAAGGTCTTGTCAACATTTTGTAAAATTTCATAGCAGAACTCGTTAGATAAAATATACTTAAAACAAAATATACTATGTTATTTATGAAATTTATTATCAAATATTTTTATAAATGTGATTAATAATAATAATAATAATAATAATGTCTTTATTTCCAAAAGAAAAATAAAAGTCATTCAGCACAAAAATAAAAAGGTTATCCATAGTTTTGGAAATCTCAAGGGGAAGTTCACAATAATTGTGCTCTACCACTTAACCCTTGAATACCACATATCTAATATATAAAGCACCGTAGTCAGTATTACATCACAGTAAACATATAAATTACAACAATAATAACAATAGTAGCGTTAAATAAGTAACATACCTAAGAAAATAACATTGTCCTAACAAATTTTTTGAACTTTGCACAACTAATATATCCTGCACCGAGTGTGACGCTGTTGTACAACCGGTATATATTGTATTTAAAACCTCTCTCAAAAAAAGACGTTTTATGTTGAGGAGGGCTGAGTAAACCTTTGGATCTAATATTAATATTATGCACATCACTGCGAAATACAATTTTGTTATATAGATAAGGTGGAGTCTTAGTAAGTAAAAGTTTATGAAAGAAACAAAGTGAGTAAAGTTTTCTCCGTTTGAACATATCCAACCAGCCAAGTTCATGCAACTTATGCGATACATGATCAAATTTACGAATACCAAAAATAAAACGTATACACGCATTTTGAACGCGTTGGATGAGGTTGCTGCTGTCAAGATCTAGGCAAGGTCCATATACAGGGGCACAAAATGAAAACTGGGATAATATCAATGTCTCACAAAGCATTCTCTTAGTATTTATGTTTAGATATTTACGATGGGGATACAGAAGCCGCAATCCTAGGTATGCTCGTTGGGCCATTTTTTTAACTTGCTCCCTGAATCTTAAGTTGGAATCTAAGNATTTTTTTCCTCTTCCATTTTCGCCTAAAATCTACTACTATATACATAATTAAATAGGAAGAAAAATATGACATTTTTCGATTTTTTTTAACATATTGTGCCGCCAAAAGTTAAGCCCACGTTTTTTTATGCGCATAGAAAAATGTTCATTTTTAGTGATATTTGAAAGCCAAAAAGCCAAAAATCTCTGTGGATATACAATTCATCCAAACCAAAACAGATACCGCCTAGTCTATTTCTTCACTTTCACTTTCATCACATTGACGTGTTTCATACTCGTCCAATGGAGTTTGTACAAGTTTTTTCCACTGGTGTGCTAAACTTGTTAATTCATCTCTTAGTTTTTGAGGAGTTATTTCTGGTTCATATATGACCAATTTCTCACACAGTTTGTTAAAAACTGAAGCTTCTAAGCCTCAGATGACATGTAATTGTCGGCCAAGGTGAAGTCGACATTTCTTATTTTACTGCCCTAGGTGTGTAATATATACTTTTTTTTCATTTCTTTCCAAATTTTTTTCCTTGATTTTTTTTCGAATTTATTGTTCAAAATTTTTTCCAATATTTGTTTTTCAATTTTTTTTTTCAATTTTTGTTTCATATTTTTTTCAATTTTTTTTTGAAATTTTTATTTCAAAAATATTTTTCATCCTTCTACAGCGCGGACCGGCCCAAAATGACCGCGGCCCATGCTATGCGGAAACCTCCCGAGTTCCCGCATAGCCAATCCGCCTTTGGGGGGCTCCATCATGCAATTCGACTGAAACATGCTTCTTCTGTAACAAGTATTTGCGCTGTAAATTGAGGATTTCTTGCATGGAACAACAAGATACGTACAACTGAGATTCTCATAATTGTCCGCCACACAACAGGATGCGAAATATTTATTTGCTGTGCGGTATTTCTGGTGCTACGATGTGGATCTTCGAAAAAGTTTGAAAATTCACTGTTTATTTACTGATATATATATACACTGATTTTTCTGTCGATGGCGCCGATTTCTAAGTCCAGGTTCCGGTGCACCAGGTGCGCACCTTCGAAGAAGTCGCTCTCCGGGAATACCAGGTAATCTAAAAAAAATTTTTTTTTCTTTCCGCATTTTCCTTAACCGCTTTTTTGGTCCTTGACGAGCCATATGTTTTTAATGTCTTGCATTAGTTATTAATTTGTTTCAT